TAGATAGAGGAGCAATGATAGCCATTACGTCGTTGAGTGTTGCTCGTAATTGCGAAGCATTTTCTGAAGATTGCGGTATTTTATCTAGCTGCTCTAACAGCAACTTCACATTCAGCTCCTCATTATGGAACTGATCATGAAGTTGTTTTACGGCATCTTGGTACGAGGAATAAGTAGAGCTCTTGCTGCTTCGCCCTTACATTTGTCTAGCAAAATCGTAAGTTTTTCGATGTCGCTGTAGGCTGCTTATGAACGAGTTCCGAGAATATCTCCCAGAACTGTTCGAATTGCGTTGGATCGCCAAAAAATTCCGGTATACGGAGCTCCTTACGATACCAGTGCGCTGGTAGGCTTTGCGGCCTATTACTTAACTCAGCATCTGCGACGGGAGAGAAGGTCGTAGGACCGCTGGGTTTGCGTTTGAATAAAAGCAGGGTTATTAGTGCGCTGATGTTCTAGACTATCGAATTCGTCGGAGTACGAAGTTCGCATTTCTTGGATGTCTAGTTCATTTACCCGAAGTTCGAGACTCTGGATCAGTTCGCGAGCGCCTTCTAATGTTTCGTCACCTTCTTTTTCGTTCCAGTATTTTTCGAATTGCGAGGCTGCCTCTGTGTCTTTATCAAGTTTACCCAAGGTTTCGTCGTATACTTTTGAAATGGAATCGAGCTTTCTTTCGAGTTTCGAGATCACACTATTTACGATATTACGTTGAGTACGTATGAAGATATAAAGTTCTTTACGACTAGGTGGGAACTGCCATCCCTCGTTATACTTATCGCATTCCGTTATAATATGCGTTCGATTTTGATTGAATTTGACCCGACCTCTGATTCAGGTGTATCGAAGTCCGGTCGGGTGGTGAAAGTCAAGAGTTAGGAGCAATAAGGGAATTCACTATCGTTCGAATGACGGGTTCTAACTCTTTTGCTAGTACTCAACTTGTGTTCGGCGCGAAGGCGGTTTTCTTCATGTTTCGAGTATGCTATCTTTGGCGGGAGCGCCCTTTGTGCGCATATGGCAAGTTCATCGAGCCGCGCCCGTCAACACTTACCAACCTAATAAGGGGGACTATCGCCAGAGCTGGTCCACGCCGCGTAAGGTTTCTTCCTTCTGGCATATAGCAATAGTGACCGCCCCTCACTTATCTCACTCACCTATTGTACCGATGCCACGACCGCTGTTCAACTCCTTTCCTCACAGGTTGGTTTCATTTAATAATATGGTCAGGTTTTCATCCTAAGATTTACTCATTTTTCTATTTATTCTCTTGAAAGCCTTTCCCAGCAAATTCTTTTCTTCCGACGTTGTTATCCAGCAAGCACGTGGCTCCTTTATTTCTCAGACTTATGTTCGCATTCCTTTTTACACTGCGGCATCTTCATAAACATAGACGGTCAGCAGGCGCGCTAGATAAGCCAGGAATGTTTTCTTTGCGCATGTTTTTGTTCCCTATGTTTTCTTTGAAATTTTCTCAAGCCTCAATATTCTTTTATCTCATGCATTCCAGGTTCCTCTCATAAAGATTAGTCATTAAGCATTAGGAATTCCAGCCTAGGGGTGGATTACGGCAAGTCACCTCATTGGTTAGTCCCGCCCACTTCCAAGTGAATAAGAGGGTTCGTCACCCTCCTCATTGTCGTAACTGTTCATCCGTTACTTGGCTTACTTTTGCACGCTGTGCCCTTGTATCATGGGTCCCCCTGCGACCCGCTCCTCGTACCTCACTCTTCTGAGTCTTCAAGTGATCAAATGTCTGCCACAGATACTCTGGCAGGCGCCTTATCATATTTAGATGACCGTGCAAACGTTCATGGGAAGGATGCGAAGACCTTACGTGACGCGACGGTTCTGGCTATTACCGAAGTGAGGGAAGAGGCTAAAGGCCGAGACGTCTCGGCTAGCGCAAACGATTAATGAAGGTAACTCCAACCTCCTTTCCGACCTTGAATCATTCTTTTGAGGCGGTAGGGGAGCGCATAAACGCGCTTCCAGTGGTCGCGACCGTGAGCCCGGATGGGCCGTTACCCAGAGTAGTTTCGTTTAGGGGATCAGGTGAGGATCCGATGCAATTCTCCCTATGGCTTCGTCGCTTGGAGGACGTCATGCGGATGAGGTCCACTTCTTGGACTTCCCAACAGAAGGCTTACTTTCTTACAGGCTATTTGGGCGGGGTAGCTGGGAAAAAGTTGGAGAACTTTCAGAGAAAGAGCCTGACGATTATTCAGCTATTGTCGCTCACCTGAGGAAGTCCTTTGAGGGGGGGGTGAACAGATGGGTGAGTCTTCCTCACCTTTTGCCAATCGGTTATTACTTCTTAGTTCGGGCGACAACGGCCGGTCAAGACTCGGCCAGCCAAAAAGATCGTGTGCTGGAGGAATTTGTGGCACGACTTCGTCCGGATATTCGTTACTATGTCAAGCTCGACAATCCGGCTACGTTTGAGCAAGCTGTGGCTAAGGCTCAAATGGTCGAACAGCTTCTAGCCGAGGCCACAGCTGACCGCTTGATGCGCCCATCCCAGATGGCGCAGCCAATTGAGGTGAAGGCAGCCGCTCCTCCAAGGCGACCAGCGCCTCCGAGACAGGAATCCAGGGGTTTTCAATATGCTCAACCTTGGGTTCCTTTTAATCGTGGTTTACCACGCCCATCTCAGGGAACCCTCCACCTCCGCCGCGCATGCACCCACGTGCTTCAATTGTGGTGGAATCGGCCACTTTTCTCGTTCCTGCCCTTCGCCTCGCGACTCTCGCCGGAATGCAGGTAGGTCCTGTTTTCGTAACCCTTCTCTGGCCGCGACTTTTCTTATGGATCTTCTCGTCGCCATGTTTCTCTTTCTCGCTATGATCGTGATCACGAACTTTCGGTCTCTATGATCACGTGGTTTTCTATTCTTATTTTCTAATTGCGAAGAACATAACATTCAAAGCTGGGTGCAGGTCTTCTCTAGAAAATGGGGGCACCCAAACGTATCTTACTCCAGAAAAAATGTTTCTAGAGGAACCGGAAATGAAAAACTTTGAAGCGGTTTCAGGAACCAAGAAACAGTTGCGCAACCTTGGTTTTTGTTCATGAAAGAATTGGTGCTTTAGATACGTTCTTTCTGTAAACAGTATGTTCATTTTCTAGTACACTTTATTATCACCCGTATACACTTTTGTTTGAGCACTAGGAAATAACTGGTCGACTTTATGATTGGCTTTCAGCTGAATTGCTTCTATTAACGAAGAGGCGAGGTAGGTTTCTTCAAAAGACCCAAACGTCTCCGCTTCCTTCAGAAAATACGTCCACCCTTTTGTGAGTCGGTAATGCCTGAAATTTGGAAAATTTATTCTTTATGATTAGTGAGAGGAACTGAGAACTCTTTCGTTTCACCTCACAACTGCATCTTCTGGCGGAACAAGCAGTACTGTGGCACCTGGTGAAAAACGGAGAACTTGGTGCACTCCCATTCCTTCCACCTGAAATGTTTGAGTGTTCCGTGCCATGTGAACTCATCTTAGTAGATCTGTACATGTTTTAAAGTATGCAGCTTACAAATACCGAGGAAAAAACTCATTTTTCAAAGGTAAAAAGGCCATAAAGCAAGAGGCAGAACGCTGCGACGCTCATCCATTTTTGGATTGCTGCCCAGCGGGGTAGCCTCATTGTGAGCATAACCTATAGGATTGTCATTGCGGAAATCGCGTCGATGCGACGCGCATTGTACGTGACTACGGCAGGAACATCGTAATTCACGCTTACTTCGGGTGCTCTCTGTCTGACCGTGCTACGCGGTTATCTACGAGTTCGAGAAACAACACAGATTTCTATTCGAGACATATATTCTTCTAATCACGCGGCAGTGACTAGTTTGTCGCTGCAATGCCGCTATTAGGTAAGAGCAGGGTGAAAAGCGGTCGAGGAGTCCTCTACGGCCTCGTCGAGGGAGGGTTTTCCCTGTCCATTCACGCTCTCCCTCGCGGACATTCACTCTCCCACGCGCGAGTCGTCTATGCTCCCCATACGTATACTCTCGCAACTATTCTCGCACAGAGACATCGTCGAGGAATTCTTCGACCGTTATTCACTCTGAGCGAAGGCCATGTTTAACTTTGACAACGCGGAGGCATCCCATAGCGAGTACACTTTCAGATGAGGAATTGACGTACCTTCACGGGTTGTATGATGCTTTTGGTCGTGTGATTTAGGGGCGCAACGTGGCTGGTGTTGTGCCATTCATCCATTGGGAGACGGGAATTCTCCATTCTCCACTGGATTGGATTGCTAGGAATCTCCTTCTCACGTAGCAACCAGCGACAGCGAAACCGCAACTCAGCAGTCATTGGCAATGCAGCAGATCTCAAAAAATATTTTTAGGAAATACTCTGAGACAGACTCTGACTGTTGCAGAATGGATCAGGCACTTTTGAATAATTCTTTCATGTTTCCTTCTAAACGAAATGCGATAAACTAAGAAGTACATGACTTGCTTGATATATTCTCTGATTGTCGTTCCTCCATTGACACTGATTCGCTCATCGAGATCAATCGTAGCCACCCAATCGCTCCGGCCACGGGTTCGGAAAACGCAGTCCTGAATTGTGATAGTGGCCTTTTGCTCAAAGGCAGCAATCGTTAGGTTCAGGAGGGGTTTCAAGGAGGTGTGTGAGGGGATGCTAATAGTATACTAATGAACGAAAAGAGCAGAGAAATCCGTCGAGAACACGCAAAATGGGCGTTTCTCGTTTACCCCTTAATTTTTGACCATAAAGAGCGGCTACCAAGAAAGAGGTCGCTTAAGCGTATTAACTTTGATGGCCACCATCACGCCAGCAACATCGTGCTTTGATTGATAACGCATTACAGGGCAATTTGGAAAGGCTACTAAATGTGAAATGACTGATCCTCCAAAATGAATATGCTAACAGCAACACAGCTCGCTGAAATCACCAACTGGAGAGCGGGTGGAGCGGATTTAGGGTGTTACAATTTTTAGGTTTAGAACCTCACTACGCTGCTAATCACAGTTCTCCGCAAAACGCCGCACTTGCTTCTTTGACCATTTGCCTTGTGGTTCCAGCAGTGCAAACACTTCCCCGGTAAGCAGTCTCCCCATCGTAATCTTTCCTTTGAAGGCAGCGATTACGATAGATTTTCAAGGGGATTAGATAGTGGTGACGTCGGGGTACTTAATGGTACGCCTATGGCGAAAAAAAAAACAGAAAAATCCTGCCCGTTCATTTCGACCGTGGATGAGCGGCGACAAAGAAATAGGTTGTTCGAACATATTAACCCCGATAGCCGCCATCATCCTAACAACCAAGCAAGTTGGATGATGCAGCCGCTAAAGGGAAATGATCTTCCAAAATAAAAAG